CTCTCTCTCTCTCTCTCTCTCTCTCTCTCTCTCTCTCTCTCTCTCTCTTCTCTCTCTCTCTCTCTCTCACAGACACACACACACACCTTCTGATGAGTAGGTGAAAGTCCGAAGAAACAGTCTGGCACAGTCATGATTTTTTTGAGTACACAAAAAAGAAAAGAAAATAAAGAACCGGTAGCACCCCTCTTAGGGCCAGGGGAACAGCCGCTTCTGCCAGCGAGGGCCAGAAGGGCATACCGGAAAGATGCATGGTACCGGTAGGGGCATATGGAAAATTCTTATGCCTGTACTAAACGATTATCACGTAGCGGCAAACTTAAAATTTGGCACCGGTACCGGTAGGGGCATATTGAAAATGTCTCAAGCCCAAACGATGCAAGTTTTTTTTTGGGAACTTTTATCACTGTCCGAAGGGCAAATCAGGGTATGTCGGTTGTCGAAGGGGCAAATCGCAAATAAACGAAGACTTCGGGGGCATTTCAAAAATGTTTCCCCCAAAAAAAGAGAGACAGGGCTGGCTGAAGGAACAGGCAGCAGGGAGGCGGAGGGGGGAAGGCGCACACAGGATGAATGGCGCAGGCGGAAGGTACCCCGTGTAGAGCAATTGCTCAGGATAAAAAAACACTTGATCAAAAAACACTTGCGCCAGATCATCTACCTAGACTGGAAACAGAGACTCGGAAAGCCGATGAGTTTGCGAGCTGGTGTGTCTGGTTTCAGAAGCATTGGCCGGCCAGCCCCTCCTTGGTCACTATAGATACGTGTACTGGAAATTTCTGGTTTGGACCTTTCTTGCAGACATCAGCATAATGGCAGCCAACTCACAAGGGACTCAGCAGTGGAACATCAACTATGCCTTCTCCATTGGTTTTTTTTTTTTTTTTTTTTTTTTTGTAATTTGTGAAGTGTTCATTCTTTTTAGTAAACTCTTCCCTTGATTGGTAGATAGTTTCCTTCTTTTAATAAGTACTATTGTAGACATTGATACTTCCGCAGACATTCTTTTGTTCTTCAAACTATGCTATTGTAGGCATTGTATTTTTGTAGGTAATTCTGTAGGTATTATTTCAGATTCCCATCACTTGCAGTTGACTTTGGGATTCTTATGTTGGAGCCTGTATAGGCCTTTTGATACAGGGGAGGGGCTCCACCTCACAGAGAAGGATTGGAGACCTAGCGGCCCCTGAAAAATCTGGAACTTTTTCCACAGTATGTATGATCTCCTTGGGCCCTAATAAATGTGAAGGACTTTATGAAAAAAAAAAAAAAAAAAGGTACGGCGCAGTCAGGGTCAAGGGCCTCGCCACACCACTGTCTTTTTTTTTTTTTTTTTTTTTTTTTTTTTTTTCTTGCCACACCACTGTCGAAAAGCAAAAAAAATAAAAAATATATAAAAAAAATAAAAATAAAATAAAATAATAATAAAAAATTAAAAAATAAAAATCGAAGGCTGTCAGAACAAATTCTACAGCCTCCATTCGACACTTTGGCCCCCTTTAGGGCCTCGCCACACCACCGTTGAAAGGTAAAAAAGATTGACGGCTGTCAGAACAAATTCGAGAGCCTCCATTCGACAGTTTAACCCCCCTTAGCCACACAGGCACGTCCGCACACTCACAACGCGGCTGGACACTCTACGCACCTGCAGAGTCGCAGACTTTGGCCCTCGCCCCACATGCACAAAAGACAAAAATTCTAGCACGCATGCACAAAAGACAAAAATTCTAGCACACATGCACAAAAGACAAAAATTCTAGCGAGGTATCCTCGATGATTGACACGAAGGTTCGTTTTTGTGGTTTTGCACATTCGACGAGTGATGGAGGAGGCCCTTTTAAACATCTACAAAACGAGGAGCGCGTTAGGTCTCCGCGATGTGAAGTGTGAGTGAGGCAGCGGGCGAACAAGAGGGCCGCACTCGCAGTTCGTCGGTGGGTTAGCCGCAGTGTCTGTGAGGCAGCGGGCTAAGAAGAGGAGTTTGGGAGAGGGTAAGGGGAGTCGTGGAATACTGTTGCCGTCAATCTCAAGGTTTGCGAAGTGCTGTGTCGACAGCAGTGTAGCTTGCGAGGAAGATGGCGGCGGCTATGTCGGCGGCTATGGCGGCGCTTTTCACACTGTTGCTCGTCGTGTCGCCGGTTCTCATCCATGGAGACGCTGGAGGTGACCTCATGAAGGCAATCAAGGCGGATCAGAGGTTGCATCATTTGCATCAGGCCTTAATCACGACTGGGTTCTCAAAAGAGCTGATTAAAGCCGTGAAGGACAAGCCGGTCACCATCTTCGCCCCCCTGGATGACGCCGTCGACGCTGCCACAGCCGCGGGCTGGGTTTCGTGGGACTGCCTGACTTCGACGAAGGCCGGGAAAGCTGCTCTCAAGGAAAATCTCAAGCATCAGGTGGTGAACGGCTCGTTCTACACCGTCTGGAAGTTGGCGAAGACGAACCAAGTCATCCCAGCCGACGGATTTCCGATCGAAGTAACGTTCGACAAGGCGACGCATTTGGTCTCCTTGGACGGTTACGTGCACGTCGCACAGCCTGAGGCGATCATCATGAAGAATGCCATCGTTCATCTCACGGATGGGGTCATCGCGACAGAGAGCAATTACGCCAACATGCTCGACGTCTGCGGTGAGGCACCGCCCTCTGCTCCGCCCTCTGCTGTCTTCGGCAGCGGCTTGTAAATCGAGAAAGAGGGAGCCGAGCGCGGAGGAGGAAAGGCAGTGAGAGATCGGAAATATTCCGAGAGCAGGAAAGACCATGGAGGGCTGAAGAAGATGAGCCAAGCAGAAGAGCTCCCTGTATGGCGGTGCGCGTCGTTGGCGCATGGCAGGGCGCTCTGCAGCGGGCGGGGAGCTGGTTGGCACCCCGCGGCGTTGTCGATACTTGCAGCCGGCGTCATATGGCTGGACATCAGCAGAACAGACTCGATCGCTGGCAGTCGATTCTTCTTCTCTCTCTCTCTCTCTCTCTCTCTCTCTCTCTCTCTCTCTCTCTCTGTGTGTGTGTGTGTGACACACACACACACACACAAACACACACACACACACACACACACACACACACACACACACACACACGCACATCACCTGTCTTGCTGAGGCGCCCAGCGATGGCCGCTCCGTCAAGTGAAGACTGGTGGTGTGTTGAAGGGATCATCTTATCTTATCTCCTCTCCTGGGCTCGTAAGCAGTCTTGTCCCTCTTTTAACATAGCTATAAGGAGATTCGTTGCCGTCGGATCGTGTTTGTGGATGGGTGGGCAGCAAGCATCGAGCAGTTCTCTCACCAGCCATCCTTGGTAGTTGGGGTTGCTGTCGACGGGAGCTTCAGAGGGGCATAGCTGGTGAGTAAGCGATAGGCTAGCAAAAATTGGTGCGCCTTTCTGGGGGCATAGCAGGTGAGCATGCTGCCGGTTGCTTGCAGGGTATGCTGGCATAGCACGGCTATGGCTTGTTTTTGCTGATCTCCCCTGGCTTTGTCGAGATAGCACCGCGTGGATGTGTAGACGGTAGTAGTAAGCTATTTGATGAATACGGGGGCGTCTTTTCGCTTGCATCTTCTTTGTCATGCCCGGTTTTGCTGGTCATAATAATAATACTATGACGTCCCTCTCGCCAGCCTCGCAGGGGTATCATAATCGTTGCCGTCTTGCTTTTTGTTGAGTTGGCAGCTCTCGCCGCACCCCTCTTCATTTTCTGTCCTTGGTTTCATACAAAAGCGCGTGCTTGCTTTCTCTACCGTCGTCAATGATGTCTGTCTTTTGTGTTTCCTCGTACTTTCTGGTGATTTGTCGAAAATAAACCATTTCAGTTTCTTACAATAAAAAGGGCATCTTATTTTGTGACCACATCTGCTGCTGGCTATGTCTTTAACGGAGATAAGGGACAAACAGACGGCGTCAAACAGGACGCAGCCCAACTCCTAACGACTGGAGTTAAGCTACACGCGGATAGGAGTTAGGCTACAAGTGGATTTGCGTTAAGCTACAAGCGGATTCGAGTTAAGCTACAAGAAAAGTAGAGTTGAGCGTCAAGCGCGGATTGGAGTTGGGCAACAGGCACGCGGCAGACGGAATGTAGCTAAACGATAAACAGAATAATAATTTATTTATTTATTTTGACCTCTTCCATGTGCAGCTCACAACCTTCGTTAAGAAATTAATAACTCTTCTGCTCGACATTCCCACGTCGTCGTACAGGATGATGTGTGACCGGTGCGTCATACAGGACGATGCAGCAACGTCTTAAGTTTTTAAATTTACATTTTTCTAATGTGTTTTCAGAGGCATCGTGAAGAAATTATTGGCCCGTGTTGTGTTTTCTTTTGCTTACGGGCGGGCTGACTCTCTCCCTCTCCTGAGTCTCGTCCCCCTTCCTCTCGTCTTTCGTGTCTGTACGTGTGTGTGTCCGTGCGATTGTGCGCGCGTGTGTGCGTCCACGTGCTATCTTTTGTGTCTGTACGGGCCTGTGTTTGTGTCCATGTGCTATCTTTTGTGTCTGTACCTGCCTGTGTTTGTGTCCAGGTGCGTGTGTTTGTGATCGTGGGCTTGTTAATCGCCCGTGGTTTAAACAATAGTGCCGAACTGGATATTTTGCCTGAACCTAGGAAGAATTACCATCAGGTAGGGCCTGTAAATTTTACGGAGTGTGTGTATGTGTCTGTGTGTGTGGGGGGGAGGGGGGGGGGGGGAGGGGGTAGGGTGCGTTTGTAGGTGTGTGGGTGTGTGGGTGTGTGGGTGGGTCCGTGTTCGTGATCCTGTGCGTGCTATGGGATGGCGTTGAGTTCGACAACGCCTGACTGCATTATGAGTATTTCAACTGAATCTAGTAAGAACTACGGTCCGGTGCATTGCTTTGTATTAATCTTGTGTTGTGGAAAGTAATCATACTGCCAAGTTCATATGGATGCCCAACTTTACTTTCCGCGGGAGCCACGGAGGGCAGGAATGCGGGCAGCCGAACACGTCGTACTGGAGTTGAATTGCGCGATGATAGCGTTTGATGGAATCCATCGCTCTTGTTTGAGACAATCCTTTGTAATTTCCAAATTCTTTGCAACTTGCAAATGCCACATGTAAGGTCTTTTTTCTTGTTTTGTTTTTAGGAGCACATCCTGCGCGCACCCCGTCCTTTCCTGTCTGCGTTTTTCATTCTTTCCGCAGGCTTCCATTGTTGTTTCCGTGCTAAAAGGAAGCCTTGTAGGGATGAGGTTCCTCGTCCTTGCCTGGTTTCTAAGTCTTTTGCCGTGGATAATAACGATCCGTTGCCGTAAATGAAGGAATGAATGTAGTGGAGCTCTCGGGTGCTCTCTCTCTCTCTCTCTCTCTCTCTCTCTCTCTCTCTCTCTCTCTCTCTCTGTGTGTGTCTCTCTCTCTCTCTCTCTCTCTCTCTCTCTCTCTCTCTCTCTCTCTCTCTCTCTCTCTCTCTNGCATGTAATGTAAATGATCCAGGATTTTCACCTTGACGGCGGAAATCAAGTCTTTGACTCTTTGTCACATTTGTGGCATTCCTGATGTGGAAAGGTTTACCCCTCTCTCTCTCTCTCTCTCTCTCTCTCTCTCTCTCTCTCTCTCTCTCTCTCTCTCTCTCTCTCTGTGTGTGTGTGTGTGTGTGTGTGTGTGTGTGTGTGTGGAATAGACAGTCAGCGAACTGAAGGGAGACAACTCAGACAAGGCAAAGAAAAATGCCGCCCGAGCAGTCGAAAAAGAAAGGGAGATAAACTACAGCCGTGGGGAGAAGAAACAGAGCGAGGAATCAGAGGTCGAGGACAGATTATTTTTACTTCGCTTCTGTCGTCCACTTGGGAACATTTACCCTGCCACAATTTCATGCATTTCATCAATTCTACGTCCACGTTGCAGTCGCCCCTTGTTTCTCTACTCAGTCAAGCACACGCATTTCAAATTCGACGTTTCAAAACATCCAAGTGCCATTCACTTTTAACCGACCATACTTCCCTCTCGGCTGCACGCGCCCACACACACACACACACATAAACATACATAAACACACGCACACACACACACACACACACACACAGACACACACAGACACACACAAACACACACTCAGGAGAGAGAGAGAGAGAGAGAGAGAGAGAGAGAGAGAGAGAGAGAGAGAGAGAGAGAGAGAGAGAGAGAGAGAGAGATTTTGATTCCACAATCTCAGAGGCGAATTGCGTACAGAAAGAGGGAAGGGAGCTCATGTTTTCCAAGACTACAGAGAGATATGTTTGTCGAAGCTCGTCCTGAATTTCACTTTCATAAGAACTGAAAGCTCAACTACAATCCCGTTTTTCGCTCAGACTTTCTGTACGTGACCGTCCAAGCTTTCTTCCATATGTATTGACGAGTACCTGTAATTGAAAAGAAAAAAATTGAACTCTCTGATCACCGCCTGCCTACGGTCCTCGTCCCATTGCTCGCCAAATGAGGAAAGACCCGAAAGAAACAAACACATTTATTATTATTATTATTATTATTATTATGTAAAGAAACTTTTTTTTTTGTTTTTTTGTTTTTTTTTGGGATAAAGAAACAAATAAAGAGTGTGTGCATACAACTTCCCAATTTGTGAGAAATGCGGCAAAGCCCTTTCAATTGTCGAACCGAGGGAAGTTGTACTGCAGCGAAGTCTTTCTACAGCGAGTACAGTCCGAAGGGCCTCTTGAGAGCGGTCTCGCTGAGTCTACCGAGAACAAACACACAAGCATCAGCATTGACAGAGCGACCGGTGAGACGGTGCTTCGGTGTGAGAGGACCTCTTTTTTTTTTTTTTTTTTTTTTTTTTTTTCAAATCTAATTTTAAATTGCAACCAATTTGCAAAAAAAAGGGGGGCATTTTTTTTCCCCCCTTTTCTTTATAGGGATAATTTGCAAAATACCCCCCTGAGTTGAGATATATGCCAAGATGTCCCTAAAAGATGTGGGTAGAGGGGTATGCCCCTCTCACAAAAAAAATATTTTGTGAAATACCCCTGGCGTCGGTTGGACCCCCATCTTTGCAATATACCACTACCGAGTACTGTTCAACTTTGCAAAATGCCCCAGTACTTGCCAACTTCTCCTCGGGGCTATTGAACAAGGCCAAGGCCCAAAGGGGGAGGTCCATATTGCAAAGTTGCACACCCGCCTGACAGGGGCACAACACAAAAATTTCTGCCAACTCTATCTACATCTTTCAGGGGCATTTTTGCATATATCTCAACTTACGAGGGTATTTGACAAATTATCCCTTCTTATAAGAAGGGCAAGAAACAATTTTGGGGGAAAAAAAAATATCAGCTGTGGAATTTGACTGGATGTCCTTTCAGGCATGCACATGTCATCATTTATATAGGATTAAGGAGAACAAAAAAAACAAAAAAAAAAAGAGGATTAAGGGCAACCCCATAGCCGTGGCATCAGTGTTGATATCTCCCACCATAATACACGCAGGGCTGCAACCGAAGTCAGCCGGGACCAAGTCCCACTACCCAGCATTGAGTTTGAGTTTCCTCAACGCCTGAATCTGGACGTGTTTGTGGATATGTGCAAAAATCGTGTTGAGTTTTCTCAACAGCACATCTCCAAGAAAAGGAAGCTCTTCTGAAAAGTGCAGAGCTATGGTCCTGGCTCCACTACTCTCGAAATCTGCAAAACGAGAGTGAATCTTCACCCTGCACATAGAAAAATACATTGCCATGCTAGGCCACCAGCCGGGCCGCCCGAGTCACCCTATTTTCCCGCGCGGCCCGGCCGTGCAAGGACCAGGGAAGGTCCCAGCCAAAAAAGGAAAAAAAAAACAAATCCAAAAAATCCGAAAACAAACTATATTCTACAGAAAAAGAAACTGAACCACTTTTGCCTTAGGCTCACATCGAAATTCTTTACCAAATTTAAAATCAGAATTTAAATGAAAAATTGTTTGTTTGTTT